CTTCAATGCGTAAAGCCAGCTATTAGTCTGGCAATGTTGTATGTGAATGTTGTGGTTTCCCACGTTGTATACACGAAATGCGACTAACATCATAACTCAACACGTCGTTCTCAGCTTGACCTTGTAGCTCAGACGGTAGAGCATCGTTCTAGAAATACGAAGGTCGCGGGTTCGAATCCCAGCCGCGGTCAAGTAGTTTTCTGTTTGCCCGGTTTGGTATACACTCGTCTGAAAACAACTCAAAAACCGCTACATAACGTAACACGAGTGGAATCGTCAACGTGGGAAACCACAACATTCACATACAACATTGCCAGACTAATAGCTGGCTGGCTTTACGCATTGAAGGACTAACCTCCGAAATGCGACTAACATCACAACTTAACACGTCGTTCTCAGCTTGACCTTGTAGCTCAGACGGTAGAGCATCGTTCTAGAAATACGAAGGTCGCGGGTTCGAATCCCAGCCGCGGTCAAGTAGTTTTCTGCTTGCCCGGTTTGGTATACACTCGTCTGAAAACAACTCAAAAACCGCTACATAACGTAACACGAGTGGAATCGTCAACGTGGGAAACCACAACATTCATATATATATATATATATATACTTTCAAGAAACAGATGTTGCTGCTCTAGTTAAACAAAAGTGCGCAGAAAAATTAGAGATTTTTCAATCAATCCTAAAGGACGGTTTGGACCAAGCGCACCATTTGTTTTATCCGTTCATTCTGTTTTTATGAAGTTGTCGTTGTTGAATCCAACAAAAGCTCAAGGTTCAGATGGCCTCCCGGCTTGGCTACTGAAGGAGAATGCAGACCTTCTTGCAGAACCCATAGCAGAAATTATAAACAGCTCCTTTCGCGAAAGTAGGTTACCACCATCATGGAAAGAAGCGGATATAGTTCCAGTACCGAATCAAAGAATAGTAAAAGACGTCAGCAAACACTTAAGATTAATTTCCCTCACGCCAATACTTTCTAAAGTTGCTGAGGAGTTCATCATACAAGAATATGTCAAACCGGCGGTTTTAAAAAAGATTAAAAGTGACCAATTTGGCTCAATTCCAAAATAATCGACAGCCCAAGCTTTGATAAGCATGATACAGACATGGAGCAAGTATACGGACGGAATTTCGGGAAAGCTTTCGACCTAATCGATCACAATATATTGGTTCGAAAACTAAAAGATCTAAATATCCCCCATAATATATATCGTCAGTTGGATCCTTGATTTCCTAAAATGCCGCAAACAAAGGGTAAAATTGTCACAGGACTGTAAATCGGAATGGAAAAATGTGCCGGCAGTAGTTCCCCAAGGAACAAAGTTAGGGCCTTGGTTGTTCGTGTTGATGATTGACGATATAGACACCACCAATACCGACTTGTGGAAATATGTGGACGATACCACAGCCGCTGAGATGGTAGAAAAAGGAGAGACAAGTAAGATCCAGAATATAGTAAATGAACTAACGGAAAAAACGTATATATAGGAACAAATTCCAGTTTAATGAAAAGAAATGCAAAGAGCTTCGGATTTCTTTTACAAAAAAATCACCCTGAATACGCACCTATTGTTATCAATGATAAACCAATAGAAATTATGACTACCATCAAATTACTGGGTCTAAAATTTCCAATAATCTTAAATGGAACCATCATATAGAGGAAATTGCAAAAAAAGCTTCCACTCGGTTGTATTTCCTGAGGCAACTAAAACGTGCCAAAGTTGCCGAAAAGGAACTTTTAACTTTCTACAAGACTTGTATTCGTCCTATAACCGAATACGCCTGTCCTGTTTTCCACAACGGATTACCCACGTATTTGTCAGATGAATTAGAACATATCCAAAAACGCGCAATGCAAATCATATTCCCAAATATTAATTATCAGGACGCACTGAAGAACAGTAACTTATTTTCTTCATACGAAAGAAGAGAATACCTAACGAATAAACTCTTTGAAGAGATATGTTCTGATCCCAACCATAAACTACATTATCTGGTGCCGAAACTAAACGAAACTGATATTGGACTAAGGAACAGACGTATGTTTAACTTTCCTGTGTGTAAAACAAACAGACTAAAAAATAGTTTTATATTTAGTAATTCAAGTAGGAAAACTTTTTAATCCTAGTTTATATTTATACTTATTGGATATTACATGTAAAATTAGTTTATCACTATTTTAATCACTTTTAACTTTTATATTATGTAAATTTATATGCAATTCAGCCATTTTGGCTGCAATGATATATCTTAATAAACTATCTATCAGCGTGGTGTTGTCGCCCTATGGTTGTCGCTGCCTCGTCCCCAGTCGCTTGCTATCAAATAATTAATTAGTAAAAGACGAAAATTAATGGGGGCGCGCGGGACGATGATCTATATATTAAACTGATATGTCTATATATACACTAATCTACAAATAGTAACACAGGAGGCCTAGGCTCGATTTGCCCGCGTGATAGTAAGGGCCTGCGGAGGAGGCAGGTGTTGTCGAGAAAATGTGAGGTGAGTCTTAATTAATTTGCAATTTAAATCACCCGTCAATCAATTTAAAACACACATCGGCTCACGACCATTTTGAAACTTTTCGCTACAGTTACAATTACCTTACACATATCATGCATACCAAAATATTAAGGAAACGTATTGTTTTTAATATCTTCCAGGTTGTCGGGTCAAGATAAAAACAGCGTCGGCGGGCGTGATTAAATTATTATTCACTATAACTATATTCCAATAAGCAATTCAGAATTAAACATTTGTGTTTTATTATTGCAAGTAGAGTGATTTACTCAGTGCACGTCTGCATGCTTGATAGAGTTTGCTCATTGGGGGGCCGGGGGGGATGGGGAGGGGGGGGGG